GTGCTTGCTCAGGATGGGAGACTGTGATGAAGTGAAGATTCAACGAGTCTGCTGATTCCTTTGATAGAGAACTTTACTAGTTGGCTTTTCTATGTATGTGAATGTTTCTGTAAAGTGCCCTGAGACCACTTCTGTTGGGACTTGGAGCTATATTAATAAACTGAACTGATCTGAATTGAATCAGTGTAGAGTTACATTCGGGCCCAAAAAATCCAACCCGACCCCAGCCCATAGTCATAATTTCCGATCCCCACCTGATCCGATGAATTAACAGTAATTACAGGTCAGAACCCGAAAAACCCCACACATTTTTAATTAAGCTTTGACTGCTTATATAATTAACGGTCGGCAGATGCGTGCGGCTGAATAAAGGGGGCAGAAGAGCTGAGGGGTTGTTGGTCTCTTCATGGCCATCAAAGCGCATTAAATCCCTCCTTCTACCTGCATTGGACCCTGCTCTGACATGTCGGATATTTTGTGATCTCATCTGTTTGGGTCGTTGGCTGCGTGCGTCCGCTGAGTGCAGCGGCTGAATGAACGTCCATTTGGGCTGATGGATCGCTTCCTGGCAGTATAGTCCCATCTGAAGCTCAACTGAACTTTTTACCTCTTTCAAGGCTGGTCAGAGCGCAGTCACATAGCCACGTGCGGCTGGTGATAGTATGGCAAGTGTTAGGGGAAACAAATGTCTTATCTCCTCTTCCCCTGCCTGGGTTGTTTGCTCAGAAGGAACACATGCTTATGTCAGAATTAAACAACATCTTTATTTTTACAGATTTCAAAATGCGTGAACAAGAGAGAATTGTGTATATATTACCAGACATCAAGGGGCCCCCGTCCAATACAATTCTAACGTGTATCAAGTCTGTTCCCACACTTAGACTGTTTTCTCCACCCCGTGACACTTCCTGTTTTAAATTTCTATCCAATCAATCGGACACACATTTGCTGTCATCTCTTTCAGCTGAGTACGTGACACATTTCTCTTTCCATTAAACACATTTTAGCACACACACATAATCTCACAATGACTGTGTGACTCTGATTATCCTTTTGATAACTTATTACCAAGTCTTAGATTGCTCTACGGTCGTTCTGACCTATTAAGTTGTTCTTTAACTCATCATTAATTATTTTATAATCTCCACACATACTCAAATGATGTGAACTATAATTTAACTTTATAGTTAACCTTATTTAACTGAAAAAGAACCTTTGATTTGTTTTGTTTTCTCATTAAAGGCCTTATAAAGAACTATTTTCCTACTGACAGCAGAACGTATCATGGTTGATTTTAAAATTTAGCAGTCACTAAATAGATATTATCAGCTTATGGCCTAGTTTACACATCTGACAGACTGAGATATTCTATCCATCCATCCATTTTCTTCTGCTTACCCGGGGTCGGGTCGCGGGGGTAGCAGCATAAGTAGGGAGGCCCAGACTTCCCTCTCCCCAGCCACTTGGGCCAGCTCTTCCGGGGGAATCCCGAGGCGTTCCCAGGCCAGCCGAGAAACATAGTCCCTCCAGAGTGTCCTGGGTCTTCCCCTGGGCCTCCTTCCGGTGGGACGTGTCCGGAACACCTCACCAGGGAGGCGTCCAGAAGGCATCCTAACCAGATGCCCAAGCCACCTCAACTGGCTCCTCTCGACGTGGAGAAGCAGCGACTCTACTCCGAGTCCCTCCTGGATGATCAAGCTTCTCACCCTGTCTCTAAGAGAGAGCCCAGACACCCTGCGGAGAAAACTCATTTCGGCCGCTTGTATCCGAGATCTCATTCTTTCGGTCACAACCCAAAGCTCGTGACCATAGATGAGGGTGGGAACGTAGATCGATCGGTAAATTGAGAGCTTCGCCTTTTGACTCAGCTCTCTCGCCAGGGGCAACTCCAGAGTGGAAGAGTGTCCAGCCCCTCTCAAGGAAACTGGTTCCAGAGCCCGAGCCATGCATAGAGGTGAGTCCGACTATTTCTAGCCAGAACCTCTCAGCCTCACACACCAGCTCAGGCTCCTTCCCCACCAGTGAGGTGACATTCCACGTCCCAATAGCCAGCTTCTGTAGCCGAGGATCAGACCGCCAAGGTCCCCGCCCTCGGCCACCACCCATCCCACATTGCACCCGACCCCTTTGGCCCCTCCCACAGGTGGTGAGCCCCTGGGAAAGGGGGACCCACGTCTCCTCTTCGGGCTGTGCCCGGCTGAGCTCCATGGGTACAGATATTCTAGTCATCTTTATATGATCTATTTTCCATAATTCATAATTAAACATTATATTCACACACCCATATTATCTTATTTTCCACAATTTATCATCAAAGGTTATTTTATTCCTAACACAAGCCATGTTGCCATATAATTGGATCGTCAGCCGTGCAATCAAAAGCCCGACACCGACCCGGCCCGCACATTAAGCAGATTATTTTGGCCCGGACCTAATCCAGGTTGGGCGGGGCCGGGCTCTGGGTTCTGGTTAGAAATGGCAGCTCTGAATCAGTGCCAAAAGGTTTGCATTTGTTTCTCGAATTGATTTATCTTCATAGAGCAGGTACAAGCACTTGGCTTCTCACAATCAAACTGTACCCAAACGTCAGCTGACTTGCTGCTGTCACCAACACCAAACTAACGTCGTCTTTATTGTCTGGATATCTATCAAGGCTGTGACCATTTAGTTGCATTCTTCATGAAAACAAATGGTAAATGGACTATACTTATAAAACACATTTCTACCAGAATAATCACTGTGAAAAATCACATCATGTTGCTGCTGATCTGTTTCATGTTGCTGCTGATCTGTTTCATGTTGCTGCTGATCTGCTTCATGTTGCTGCTGATCTGTTTCATGTTGCTGCTGATCTGTTTCATGTTGCTGCTGGTCTGCTTCATGTTGCTGCTGATCTGTTTCATGTTGCTGCTGATCTGTTTCATGTTGCTGCTGATCTGTTTCATGTTGCTGTGTTCATGCTGCTCATCTGCTCACACAGACTCATGTTCGTGCTGCTGTTCGACGTAATGTTTTTATACTATTAGTGCTTGGTGTATATTTAGTTAGTGTTTTTCTTAGTTCATATCTTAGATGTTATTACTGTTTTTTCTTTTACATTTTATTGTTGGATGTAACTGGGACCCTGTGTACATAATTTCGTTCCACCACATGTACCACATGAGGTGTGAATGACAAATAAAGAAACTTGAATCCTTGAATCTATCTTATGAAGATACTCAAAGCTCTTTACACTATAATCTGTGTTCTCATTTACTCATTCATACAGCACTCTTAATACATCTATACAATAATAATCAGAGCTTTATCACATTCAGACACTGATGGGACACACATCAGAGGCTATGAGGGGTTCAGGGACACTTCGGCATGTGACTGCTGGTGGATTCGAACCCACAACTCTTATTGGAGGACGAGTGCTCTAACCACTCCTCCACAGCCGCCCCAGTATCATTTAGAAAAATGCACTGATGAGTTTTGAGAATGTATTTTAGTTTAAAGTGATGGAATAGCATCGGGGCCAGTAACGACTTGTTCTGCGATGGTTCCCCCTCTTGTTTGCAGGTTCCCTCTGTACTATGAGCTGAAGATAGCTTTTGTAGTTTGGCTGCTGTCCCCCTACACCAGAGGAGCAAGTCTTATTTACAGGAAATGTCTGCACCCCCTGCTGTCATCAAGAGAGAGAGTAAGATTATTGATATTTTTAAGGACTTTGTCTTTAACAAAAATCTTTCTTTGGTTCTACAAGAATGATCCACCCACTAAATTGTTTCCATGTCCATCAAGGAAATCGATGACTACATTGTGCAAGCCAGAGAGAGGAGCTATGAGACGATGGTGAACTTTGGAAAGCAGGGACTGACCATTGCAGCCACTGCTGCCGTCACCGCTGCTGTTAAGGCAAGTTTTTATAAAAACACTGAGCATTCTTTAAAAGTTGTACTTTGTATTAGAAAACAACTTGGCTGCACCCCAACAGGTGCTGGTGTTAAAAAAACCAGGTGGCAAAGACGGTCATGTTAATTGTTCAAATGTTTCTCTTTTATCTTAAGAAATCAAAATGATCCAAACCCCTAATACATGGTGAGAAGGTTCAAGTTCTCTTTTCCATGTCCATTCTTAACACACACTTGTGTTGTGTGTGGGCTCCTGCTGCCCTGTTGAAAGACTACAAGGGTGGTATCTCAACAAGGTTTAGACCTGAAGATGCAGGAGTCTCTAGACTCACTATCTGAGGTGTAGACTGAAAACCTCTTTTGTCTCGGGCAAACAGAACCTTCACACAGAGTCCAACATCAAGCCACTGTGACCCTAACACATCCAACCACCCAGGCTCGTGTAAATAGACAGCGTGGCCCCCAGTAGGTGCCATCAGTGCTGGACATGCTGTCTAATGGGCCACCTCTACGAAGCAGCCTCTGCTGACCTTCACCAACTATTCTAAGTGGCAGTCGGGCGCTCCAGCAACAGCCTGATGACACCACTGCTTCACTCGTGCTACCACTTGTGTTCTGTGCTGCTCATTCTACATGTGCCAGCTCCTTGAAAATCTAATCCCACCACTGGTCTGCACGTGCACCAGATCACATGCAATCAAGTGTTTCTTCTGGGTTTCAGACCTTTTGTATCAGCGTGTATATGAGCTGAATATTTAGTCTTTTTGCTCATTAATATAAGTGAAGTTTCAAAAAGGCATGTCTACAAAGTTGTGCAAGTCTTTGTGACTTTTGCTTTTGTTTGTTTTGTGTACACTGACATCTTCAGGGTTTCTGTGCTTCAGCAGGCTTCTCTGGGAGGTAAACGCGACCGAACGTTTGTTCATTTCATCCGACACTCATCCAGTCATGCCCCATTGTTACATTTCAGCAGTGTTTGTTCCTTTAATAGACCTGCGGTGTCGTCATCTAACTACAGAACCAGCAGTTTGTTTTGTTAAACATCACAATTTGGAACTTGTGTTTTATTTCCATAAATATAATTTAAAGCACTGTGCCATTTAACAAATGGTTTCATTTCCCCTTTTTTGTAAAAGTTTATTTTCCCTCCAGATTTTTTGGGTGGGTCATGCTTTGCTGTTAGTGATTTGTGAAATGTTTCTACAGTGGCTGCATGAAAAGTGTTAAATTTATTTTTATAATCATTTTATTTTCTCTTTCATTGAAAGTCCTTCATTTCATTCATGTTTTCTAGTGTGACCTGATATATGTGTGTTTATAATAATCGAGCCAGGTCGATCGATCAGTTCCTGTTAACATAATTAACCTTATTATTAGTGATCAAATGGAAATAGTTTGTATCGCTCCCTCAGCTTCAATTTTTCTTTTTGTTTCAATTTGGTCATTTTGTCAGGATGACATAACAAGCTCTACTACAATGAAATGTTAATTCAAAAAGTTCAGGATTTTCCATCCATCCACCATCTTTACACGCTTCTTCCTTTTTGGGCTGCGGGGGTCACTGGTGCCCATGTCCAACAGTCACTGTGTGAGAGACGAGGGACACCTGGACAGGTCTCAGACCATCACAGGGACACCTGGACAGGTCTCAGTCCATCACAGGGACACCTGGACAGGTCTCAGTCCATCACAGGGACACCTGGACAGGTCTCAGTCCATCACAGGGACACCTGGACAGGTCTCCAGTCCATCACAGGG